CGAGGATGTGGAAGCACTTAAGATGCACTGCCAGATAGTGTGACGATTGCCTATCCTCGGCGCACAGCGCAGACGAAGTCAAGGTAGGCAATAATGGTGCTTTGCGTATGAAGGATCGAAGCCTCTGCAGCGGAGCGTTCACGCCAATCTAAAACCGCCACGTGAGTCTCGCTATAGCCTATCACGGGCTCATTCTGAGCGTCTATCGTGAGCCGATGTCTTCAGACGAAGTTAGCACAGGATGAGCGCTTGAATGGTCTCGCGGAATTTGATTCTGTACGATGCAAACTCCATCACTGGAAAAACAGAGAGCGTCCGCAACACAGCCAGCTCCTATACACCACCCGAAAGGTTCCAGAGCATTAGCTAGAAATCCAAAACACAGTGGGTAAAACATGATGGGGTTGGAGCAGACATGTGTAAAAGGACGGACATTTTCAACCGTGTTGTTTCACCATCCTTCTAGATTTTTTTCCAAAATGTCAAAAAAAACCATCAAAAACGGCCCCATCATCCGCAATCTCTTCAACTTCTACGAATACACCCCGTTCTCATTTCCCAAGAAACGGCTAACTGCAATCCAATACGACCCCTCCCAACATCGCACATATCGCCCTTGTATTGTATTGTATGATATTATTTATTATTGTGTAGTGTATTGTACTTTCATTGTATCATTGTATTGCATATTAATCCCATCGGAAGGTTCACCCCGCCTCTGAGAGGATTTCGATATGCATCATCGTGTTCGTTATCGAGCGAGTGCCTTCAGCTGTGTAAGGTTTAATGAGTGATTTCATAAGAATTATTTTTGAAAAAAAAACCGGTGTGATGTAAGATCTGATCATGCTTATAGTTCAAGACTTACAGGGAAATTGGCAACTATTGTAAGGCCAATAACACTTGCGATTCCCACGTACATCATCACCAATGACGCGAATAGCAACAAACGATGCCATGCCGTTTTCTTCCAACGCATATAATGCACGTAGTACTCAACTGTCTGACGATATCGCATGTAGAACGTGATAACTCCTAAAACGATACATTGGCCTGGCGCTACATGGGCATGAGGTGGCGATTCAGACTGGGATTGCGCGTAGAATACTTAGCCCGGTATCCGTTTTCGTTTCGCTTCAGGCATCTATGTACTGCCATTGTAACTCAATACCATTTTTACAACGATTAAAATCTTCTTCCCTACCCTTAGTTTGGAATATCAGCCTGAGCGCTGTTTTTATTAAACGGCGCCAAATTCTCTCATGCAACATGTGAGTGTCTTCAGCCCGCCATGATTAAAGGCAAACCCCAGGATTAGCCCGGTTTGTGGGAAAGGATACCGCGAGGGAAATTGTAAGGTCCCTACCTAGATCACTCCAGCTTCGTCGCAAAAGTTGCGCGGTTAGGGCGCTAATCCTTACGGGCCTGCAACCATCGACCCCCGTTGCAACGCTTCCCACCCACCTCGATATCGGCGTGCTCTCTCGAACGGCGTGATCTCTCGCGTGTTTTGTCTTTGACCGCCCTGCCTCGCCATCGTTCCACATCCGACCTTTTTGAAGGTTAAGGCCTTAATTTCAGCGATCCCAAAGATTCTCTAGCTTTCCTTCCCACTTTCAGGCCGTCCCGCAGCTCAGTCATCATTACGAAGCGCTCTTATCACCGATTTTATCCCGGAGCTTGCCTTTAACGTGCAAAGGTCGATAAAAGGCAGCCCACTAGGAAACAGGGTAGTGGTCAGTGATGCAGGGATGAAGAAAAAAGAACAGCAATAACGGACTAGAGTCCGAGGTGTGTGACCTCTATCTGGCCGTAGATTTGCGCGTTAGGCTTGTCTGATGCTGATGTCATCATGTTGACGCTCTCTAATACGGCGGCTAGGGTCAGACGGCGAAGGGTCAGCCAATCAGTGGGAGTGGCGCGGATGCTTTCCAAATAGGTGTATCTCCCTTCTTGATCTCCAGGCTTATCGTGGAATCCTCCTTCGTAGATGTAATGCTGACTCTTATACGCCTTTGAACACGATAACCTTATAGTGCGCGTAACTTAAAGCGAGAGATTACGATAAAGTGTGTGTGCAGCGTGGAAGTACATGCACCATGGAAGCAGTAGTCAGGGGCCCAAGGAAACGAAATGTTGCGTTTTTGTGGTCAAAGGTGCGCTAGTTGCAGCGTACAAGGCTTGCCATTCCTTTCTGAGCCCCGCCACGGTCTGTGCTCCGCCCCCAGCAGCAGCGCCCTTCGATTGCCAATGTGACGAGATATTCCACTTCCAGAGTGTATCCTATAACTTTTCATGGGATGCGTGATCAATCAAAGCATGATGCTTGCTGAAATGATAGAGGCTATCAGCATAACATGTGCAAACGACCTCCTAATTGGTTGCTAGCTCGTCCATTATCGGAGGTCAACGGGCAAAGAAAGGGGTCCCATTTTGCGCCTTCTTGACGGATTTCTTTGCTTTTTTCGCCACTGGGGCATTATTCAGCATCTCCACTTCCACTATGAACCCAGTCCAATCTTATCGTAATCTCTCGCTTTAAGCACTTTCATGTTGAACAAGTGAATATTCGTGTTCAGAAGGATAAATTCCCTTTGGAAGCAACTTTTAGCGAAATTTGAAACCTCGAGAAAATTTGAAAAGTATTGAGCAGCCATCTATCCTCAAGCTAGCAGGGAATGCCGTAGGTATGACATCGCCACAGCGTCCACGCACTCTGGATCTCCTGGCACACAGTCGCGTGTGGACCATGTTCAAAATGTGAGTGCATCTTGATGGCGTTGCACTAAACCAAGAGCTGTTGACAGGTTCAACTCACCGAAAAAAGAAGCCAGGTTTAGAAATAGCGCGAAAACGCATCTTTCGGGCGGATAGGAGCCGCCGTCACTGGAGAAAAGCATTTTACACTTTATGGCGTGAACTTGACCACATCACCGTTGTACTTACCTTATAAACGGTATCAACGGTGCGAAATGCTTCTTTACAACTCCAATGGCATACCTCAACAACGATTAGACTAGATAAAAGCGTCAAAAACTTGAACCCAATTTCACTCAGAAATAATCAGGAATGATTTACCGCGCTCACCCACTGAGCATCCCTGCAAGCGTTAGCACCACCGAGATCACTGGCACGAGCCAAACCTGCCGGACAACCATAACCTGAGTATCTGTAAGCGTAGACGTATTTGTAGTATTACGATAAGAAGACCATGAACGAAGTGAAAATGCGAAGGCGATAATAGAAATGAATTTACTTTTACTTTTTATTATCTCTTCAATCTAACTTCTTAGTAAAAGTTTGTTTGTCATGAATTATTGTTATCTTGATCTTTAATAAGGTGAATGATTCTCATATTATATTATTCAGATTTAAAATTTTTCTGTTGGGATTAGATTGTAATGAAGATTCATGGCCGATAAACGATCCCTACTGTATATAATGTGTGGGTACGTGTGTCTTTCTGTCTGTCTGTCTGTCACGAAATTCATAGCGCGGGCACCAGTGTCGTCAGGAGTTGATTTCAAGATATGATATAGGGGGTGGGACGGGAACATATTTGGTGGGTAAAGAAAGTGATAACAACTGATAAGGGCTGATAAAAGGCGCTAGAACGCAAGTGTCGCGAAATTCATAGCTCGGGCACCAGTGGTCGTCAGGAGTTGGTTTCAAGATATGATATAGGGGGTGGGACGGGAACATATTTGGTGGGGTAAGAAAGTGATAACAACTGATAAGGCTGATAAGAGGCGCTAGAATGCAAATGTCACGAAATTCATAGCACGCGTCCAGCAACTGTGAGGCGTTGGCTCCAACATATCGTATAGGGGTGGTGGGACGGGAACATATTTGGCGGGTGACAGAAACTGACACCAACTGATGGATGCTGATAAGAAACCTCAGAAGGGAAGGGTAACGGATCTTTCAAAGGGAAAATAATTTGCGAAGAAGGAAAATCAACTGTCGGATAATGGGAATACGATAACCTCAAATGAGGTTAACTGCTTGAGCAGTGGAGCGGTATTGCTTAAAAGCGGTCTTCAGATAAACCGCGTATGTCAAAAAAAAGCTGACTAATATTACGCTCCGCCTTCATGCTTCGTTCCGCTTGAAAGTAGCTACCACAGTCGCAGGCTTTCATCTGTCCACCCTCTGGCTGAATATGCAGCGAAAGAGAGCCCGCATCGATGTCGATGGTGCCAGCTATTATGGATCCTCCAGCGCTCAAATTCGTTCCTCTTTCAATTGTTCACTACTTAGCATTTCCACTTTTGCTACCGACTGCCGACCAAGTTGGCCTGGTTCGCCTTTTTGAATGGAAATAGGGGTTGCAAGACCTTTTCAAGAAAATGCTGTACTTGACAGTGTTGAATCGAGGCTCGCAAATGATTGAGCTTCATGCGTAGTAGATAGGTACTGAAGCATATTTTTCCACATTACCAGGATTTCACATTAGTGTATTTTGGAGCGCTACCGCAAGATGCGGGGCAACCCTTATAGCAACACCCCTGATCGATTTAGAGGGGTAAACGCAGCCGACAATGAAACTGTGGATGCTGAATGAAAAAGAAACGAAGAAAACCGCCGATTAAGTCCTCAAAAGGCCACTCTTCCCCTTGAAATGAGGGACGGGCGTTCCGGACGAGTTGTCCGAACTAGCTTGCTCGTTCCAGCAAGAAATGTTACTGCAATCGCATATAACCAATACAAACAATGAAATAGAATAATTGAACGATTTTAGCAAGTGAAAGCATTCTTAAAGCATTCAGCATTCCTTCGAACGTGGTGCAGTATATTGCAATCGCGCAAGGAGCTCGAGATCGCGTAAGGACCACGCAACCGCACGTGCACTACGCAGCCAGGTTAACCCGTCCAAAAGCCAAGATTAGTGGCCACAAGCCAGCTTTGTAAGCCCTAGCGCCGTTGTCGCGCACTTTCGAGCGGCGACAACGGCACATCTGTGCTACACGTGGTCTGCTCTATCCCACCCAATGAATAGATTCTTCGAGACTACTGCTGGGAGTGTTGCTTTAGGCTCAGAGGGAGGTGGGCAGGAACTCTGGGTTGAATGAAATAGTTTTCACACCCTGAAATCTTCGCCTCCACAAAAGGCTTGAAGCCGTTCATAGTAAGAAAGAGGTACTGGACGCAGTTCTAAATGCGTTTTCTCACTAATGCCCCAGCATCTTGCGATAGCACCGTATTTCTGTTTTCCTTCAGCTCTTTCGCTTTGTTGTGACTACAGCCTAGGCCAAAATCCCTTCATATTATACTTCAATGACTCGTCAATATATATTTTTATGTATTAAGTAACAATGACGAATAAATAGAGAACCAATTGACCAAAAGTATGATAAATAAATGGACAATAGAAAAAATAAATAGGCGCAAGAAACGATGTTTCAAACGGGCAGTAACTTGGAAAGCTGCTGTGGGACTGTGTGGAAAGTTGTAGACCACAGCGCCAGGTCATAACGGAGATATCGACATCCGACTGATGCGATTCGGAGGCGGCCCCCTAGCACCCTTTTATCGTCTGATAACATGTTCATGAGATGCCATCAACTTCTTTCGTCCTATTCGTGTTCGCCTTATCGAGAGCCGTTTTTCATGAACACTCTGGTGCTGAAAATTCGATAATCCGACATAATAATAAGCATCAAAGGCAAACTCCGGGATAAAATGAGGGAGTTCACTATTTCAATATGACGCACCGGGTGTTCCTGATCAGACTCTATATAAAGCAGAGCTACCCCGAAAAGGTCTAAAATCTTTGAAATAATGAACCCTTCTGTTCGTTATCAACAAGCAGTGCAGCTGGGAGGATTACATGTTTGAGACGTGTTTCAGCAGCATGCTGATCATCCAACAACCCGACACGAGCCATAAAATCGCTAATGAATTAATTTCTTCTAATTTTTCTATTGTTTCTGCTTAATACTGCCTTTTTTCCCATTTTAAAAATCTTATTCTTCTCAGAATGAATTTCACAGTGAAGTTTTCGATAATGGCCGTAACATATAGTTTGATGTTAAGCTGGCAATTGAAATCCACCTCTACGACCTTCCAACAAACGGCCTTGACATCTAGTGTTCCGAAGTGTTGTTTGGAAGGTTGCGTGGAACAGTGGGCGGGCTCAACGGGGTTGGGGCGGCGCCAATGCTCCAACCTATGGCGCCTAGCGCCTAAACCTTGTCAAATCACCCCGTCACTTCTGCACATGGTCCGCGCTTGCGTACTGCTGCATATTTGACGGGAAAAACTAATTTTCGACCAATTATCTCCGAACTTTGCCTTTAAGCTTTACACTGGTTAACACATTGACGACAACGCGAGTTTTGGCTTTTTTGGCCACGTGGGACCGCGGCGATTTTGCGGGCGCGCTCGCCTCAGGTCGTTCAAGCAGATTTTGAGTGATAAATACACAACTAATGATCAATTCAAAACCAAATCAGTAAATTGTAATGAGCGCAACTAACCAGGGGTACAGTAGTGGAATTTCGATCGAAAGACATGGAATAACAATGAAAAAGCGAAATTTGTCAGAACTAGCTGCAATGGACCTCGAAAGCAATTTTACGTTGATTATTCCAATCAAAACACACATATTGTCATCCTAAGGTTCCTTTCTACTTCTAATACTATTTAAATCTTCACATTAATAAAACGGAAAAGTTAAAGAAAAATTTATTGAAATGAAGATTTCGTATAGTTCAGAAATCCTCTTCTAAATTAAAGTATACGTGACCATTCCAAGGGCCACTATGTTTGTAGCGAAGTCAAGGTCTCTTCCATAGAATGAATGAAAGAAACTTCTAAAAGAATCAGGCGTGCGCGAAAAAAATGAGTGTAATGGGTGCGGGGGATATATATCCCGCACGGTCCGACATGGCCTGCAATGCGCGGGATATAATATCCTCGCGTTGTTGCTTAGGCTCAGAGGGAGGTGGGCAGGAACTCTGGGTTGAATGAAATAGTTTTCACACCCTGAAATCTTCGCCTCCACAAAAGGCTTGAAGCCGTTCATAGTAAGAAAGAGGTACTGGACGCAGTTCTAAATGCGTTTTCTCACTAATGCCCCAGCATCTTGCAATAGCACCGTATTTCTGTTTTCCTTCAGCTCTTTAGCTTTGTTGTGACTACAGCCTAGGCCAAATCCCTTCATATTATACTTCAATGACTCTCAACATATATAATTTTTAATGTATTGTAACAACGCACGAAATAAATAGAGAACCAATTGACCAAAAGTATAGATAAATAAAAAATGAAACAATAGAAAAAATAAATAGGCGCAAGAAACGATGTTTCAAACGGGCAGTAACTTGGAAAGCTGCTGTGGGACTGTGTGGAAAGTTGTAGACCAAAGCGCTAGGTCATAACGGAGATATCGACATCCGACTGATGCGATTTCGAGCGGCCCCCTCACTCCTGTTTATCGCTGATAACAATGTTCATGGAGATGCCATCAACTTCTTTCGTCCTATTCGTGTTCGCCTTATCGAGAGCCGTTTTTCATGAATACTTTGGTGCTGAAAATTCGATAATCCGTACCGACATAATATAAGCATCAAAGGAAAACTCCGGGATAAAATGAGGGATGTTCTCTGTACAAATATGACGCCCCGGGTGCTAAGTGGAATCAGACCTCAATAAACAAAAAGCAGGAAATATCCCCGAAAAAGGTCCAAAATAATCTCCTCTTCGTTGGTTACATACAAGCCAGGCCTGGGAAAATTACGTGTCTGAACGTGTTCACAGCAGCTGCTGGCTCCATGCCAACAACCGGCCATAAAAATCAGCATGAAAGGATTGATTTCTTTTAGTTTTCCTATTATTTATGCTTTTTTTCGTGCCTTAATTCTGCTTTTTTGTTTTTCTCCCATTTTAAAAATTTAATTCTTCTCAGAATGAATTTCAAAGTTTTCGATAATCGCCGTAACATAGAGTTTGATGTTGAAGCTGACAGTTGAAATCCACAAATATATCATCCTACGACCTTCCAAACAACAATAGGCTTGACCATCTAGTGTTTCAAGTGTTGTTCGAAGGATACGTGGAGCAGTGGGCGGGCCCAACGTGTTGGGGCGGAAACGCC